AATAGTTAATTAGTTAACTAGTTTGTCTTTATATGTCTAAGAAATAATGCTGCAATAATATACAAGTATATTGTGATCCTCTGACTACATATTGAGGGGACAGACTGTAAACATTTTAGTTGTCCACACATTCTTATGATTTCGGAAAACTTTTCGCTTGTTTGCTTTCCTAAATTGTGTTGGTATTATAAACAAATCCGCCCTCAACATTTTCTTGGAATAAAATGTCACAGATTTATTGAATAAATTAAATCTGTCAACAATCATGATTCTCTTAACAATCTAAATCACAAACTCAGCAATCAAGATTGAATATTCTGTATTGTTGATATCATAAATGTATTTTATAAGAAAAAAAAATAAATCTCGACATATTGTCAACGTTAATCTTTATGCTATGTAACGAAATATCCTACACGTATACACACAAATGAATTAGATTGGAAAAATCTCTACCGAAGCCAAAACTAATAATTATAAAAAAAATACGTTATTTCCAATTCATTCAATAGATTGAACAACAAATTTTGTGCAGGGACAGCTGTCGTAAACAAATAGCTGTAAACGTGCGACGTTGGGGAATGGGACTGGCATCTATTAGCTTAGAAGTGTGGGAGCGGTATCCGGCCGAAGGGTAGCATCGACACCTGTAATTTATTAGATTTGTTCCAATACGAGTTAATCTGGTTACAGGTGAGCCAGGGTTTGGTTACGTAATACAGTTGCAATCGATTCTTATTTGAAACAAATTAAAATTGCGAGTTTAGGAATCATTAATTAAACCCTTAACAGTAGTAGTTTCTGATTACTCCATCCAGCCTGCTATAACCAAAAAATTAGGATAGAATTAAAAAAAAATACTAATACATTACAATGTATTAGTAAAACAAGATTTATGAACAAACTATTTATTTCAGGTATATATGTATATTTATGTTTCGTCCACAATCGTTTTATGAGTGCTCTATTCGCAAGGATTGTGTTGACAAAGAGTCCTAAATCAGGACCCTCACGGAATCGACTTTTAGCGTCGTATAAACTAATTTATTACTCGTAAAAATGACCCAAATAAAAGTGGAATAAACGAAAAGTGATTTATAGCAGAGTTGTGCTGGTTGTAATCATAGTTAGGTATACTAGGAATGTGCCTACGGTATTCAGACAATTTAAATCTGAATTGTTAGTTTTAAACATTGGGTTGTAGGAGTCAGAATCGAAATTATATATTCGATACTGGTTAGAAAGTGAAAAATAAATTCGTAAGACGTTTTGAATCGACTGTTCCAGTACGACTGAGTTTACCTATCTTTAGGAGTAATTTATATAATCATTTATTATATAAATCTCTATCATCATTGCTAAACACTAATCTTATTCTCCTTATATGAGGAACAATCAGTCTCCTATTAGTGACTACAATGGATTGGTTGCTGGGTATAAGGTTTCATTTCGAGTGCTCCCCTGCATAAATGTATTGTGTTTTTTGTTATCTTATAGTCACTTCTTACGGTATTGTGGGGACGAAAAGGAGTTGTGTGAATTGATATTGAAACAAACTCCACCACCAAAAAAATTAAAAGTGTGTAGATGGACACTGTTCTTTATTGTTTTTGATACATGGAATCGTACGTAAATTTCATAATGTATATAACATGTTACAATATATAAGTAAGGTATAATATATCTATAATGTGGATTACAAAAGACCCATGTAAGAATAATTGTTAATATCACTGTAATTTATGAAATGAGCCTTATTCCAGCTAGGGCGGGCAGCAGCTATTGTTTGGATCTATTGTTTGTTGGCATGCTGGATCCATTAATAGCGTTCAAGCATTAAAATTCGGGTCAGGTTGTTGACACAAATTTATGAGGGCTTCGGGAAAGGGCAGCCTTGATTTTGTTAGCTCTAATAAAGATAAAAGAAAACAAATTATTGTTTCAAGGTATTAACAACGAAGTGATAATTAAGTTCATAAAGCGTCGGTATATTTATTAATAAGCATAAGCCTCTTAATGTCGCAGACGTGTAATGTCGCCGACGATAAGAATTAAAATATTTCTCTTGAAGGGTTTGGTATTTGCTAACAACGAAATTAAGGCGCAGTGTTCCTCTGGGAATATTAATACCACCTGAAATGATTGTGACATTCTCAGGATAATATGTAGGGCACACGATTTTCTGAGTGCGTTGCGACATTACCGAGGCCGTAACATGTAACCTTCCAAATGTAAACATATGAAAGAAGCAATTAATATTTAAGATACAAAGAGTAACGAGATTCTGTTTGAAAATTTTTCTTACAAAAAGTTCTGATCCAGTTAGTGTTGTTCTATTCTACCAACGGCAATTTATTAGACTCTGAGAACTTGTAATCCGTTTGCGTACGCTATATTGTTGCGGAGAAATTGAATGTTGGACATGTTTAATATCAGTGGGAATAACCCTTATCTTAACACTGAAAGGAATATAATAATCTCGGTATTAATGATATCACTCGCTGTTCTTTTATCAATGTTGTACCTACTAGTCAACATATTATATTTTACGTTTAAACAAAATTGACTTAAGCAGTTTCTGAATAATATCAGCAATGGCAAAATACGTACGAAAGTTCCTAGGAAAAGCCACTTAGTCATGTAAAGATAACAAATAGACAGACAAAAAGACATGCACACTTTCACATTCATAATTAGCACATGAGTATGGATGATTTCGGTAGATCAATAATCTATACGTAACAAAAGGTAAAATGGTAATTTGTTAAGAACATACAATTCATTCCATTATTTTTTCATTCATTAATTTATTATTTAATGAAAAATACGAAACTGAATTTTATGTAATGTAATTATCTTGTTTATGAGTAAGGGCCTTAAGAAGATTACATTGATTGATTAATCCACGCGTGTTGGAGTTCCTCCAGCGATCTACATCTATCTATATAAGAACAACAAGCGAGTAGATTGTGGCATTTGGAGATATTTACACAGTCTGATAATTATTGCGACCTAGTAGGAGCCACGATGACAGGGAGGGTCCCGTCTCATTTGAATAGTCATATAGGAGTGAACATTAAACTAAGGGGCGAGTATAGCATGTAATATTATTTCTTCATTTTAATTCGCCCTGTAGTGTTACGAGCACAGTTATTCGTTTCATTTCCTTTATTTTCTTTACGGAATTTATCTTAAATTATCAACTATGAAGAATAAATTGAGGATATTCCATAATGTTACTTATTGTTTGAATAAGTTTTGGTATAAATTAAATTTCACCAAAAACATTTTATTAATCAGAAACATACTCGTATACACGGTTCTTATGTAAATTATACATAATAAACTTTTTACACTACCTTTTTGCTATTTCTGACGATTTTGTTACTGTAAGTATCATCAGAATAGCCTTAAAAATGTTATATATGTAAATTATTGTTAATGTAGATAAATAGTAGTAGAATTAAAAATGTCTATTCTGTCGTTTATTTTTTTATGTTTTTTAATTTTCGGGTATTTATATTGTCGAGCTATCATAACATTCAGAGGTCTGTCTACCTATAACTTTAAAGTCGTCGTAATTTTAAATAAAGTACTGGGGTCGAAATGTGTCCGTTGTTCTGACGGCAGCGCGGCACACCTCAACGCACAATAGAGATATCGAAAGATTTATAGGTCACGCGAACGTTGATTAAAAACGTTCTAAATGGTACGTGGGCGGATTTAATTTCGATGATTTCCATATGTACGACTACGTGTGTAACAGGAAACAGCCTGCCGAAATTGCTTTCCAACTCTCAAACTATTAAACATTAAATTGAATTGTATAAGTTACCAACCAGGTTATAGGTTATACCAGGATTTAGATTATTTTCTGACATGAAATTGCATTCTTCATTTCTAAAAGCTCAGTCAGTAAACACTTCCGAACTAAATACACGGCTTAATGATGCTCAGAAAATTATTTATTGTTTTGACTAAATTTTATCCTATCATTTAGTAGTTAGAATTCACACATGTAAAGTTTTACAGCATTTGTTTAAAATAGCATCAGGCAAGTTTCTTCAATCTTTTTGATCGAAACCATATTTCTGAATGATTAGATCAATAAAAATATGTCTATTATTTGAATTAAGATTATTTCCTTATTGAAGAATACTGTGATGTTCGTGCGGTTATACTGCATCGAACAGCTGTTATTAAAATGAAGTGATTATATAATTATGTAAAATTTTGAACTAATAAATAAATACAAATGCCATCTTTATGATATAAGATATTTGCAAATATAAACACAGAACTTTTTATTGAGCGTTATTACCACTATTTTATGAAATAGTTATACGAAACCCCAAGAAGAGCGCCCTAATTCCCATGCAAATTTAGAACATTTACATTTCGAATTAATAGACTACGGCGATAAAACTTTGCCTTAAATTTTATGTAAATGAAATCATCAAATATGTAGGTGCTACTGAGAATTTAAATAGCCAAAAGTATCAAGAGTAGATAATCTTTTGTCAACGAGAGATAAGTTTACGAACTCGTTAATTAATTTTTCAGCTAAATTCATTTCTTTAATGGAGACTTTAACAGTTTCTTTGTTAGAAGTAAGTATCTACGTATTCAAAAATACGTATTTATATTTTATTTCTACAGAAATATTTTGAAGATAATTATACTATTGTATAGCACTAATTATAACTAATATAACATAATATTTAAAAATATCACTATTCATTCTTATATAGATTATATGTAAGAATAAAGTAAAAATATGTAAGTTATATATAAGTTAATACACCGTTCCAATAATTTATGTTCTGTAATTCATAATAAAATATAACAAAGATCAGAAAACAGTTTAGCATCAAATACGGGATCTTTTCTGGTGTCGTTTGATGCGTCACTGCAAAGAATCACGGAGATGTAAGTGTAATTTATAATTGTAGAAATTGTAACTATTTATTATTATCATTAAATATTTCTGATAGGTGTACCTGCAGATCGTGCTTCCTTGCACGCGAGGACCATGCTGTGTCGCACGTCGGGGTTGTCGTCTGCGATGGTTTCACCAACGGCCACGAACCTTTCCACGGCACAGCACACGGCTGCACCCACACGTTGCACTGCCGCTCCACCCGCCGCCGCTTCGCCTCGTGTCGCCACCAGGGTGCTGATCTGATCAACGACAAACAAATACATTTGTATATATCTGGAATGGCAAGGGAAGTGGCGGCTTAACTGATGGTAAGTGGTAACCGTCTCTTATACGAATGAACACCACCACAGACATTATCCTAGGACGTCCGTGGTACCACTCATTAATTACCATTCTCTATGATTATATTTCTGCTTTTGTAATTTGATTATTTTCTCTAGAAACTCAGCTCGTATTATTGATAGAAATACCGACCAAAATTACACCATGTTATTCTGTTTAAATTCATATCTAAATAAATATATAAATTGAAACAGTTTTGAAAACAATATGATTTATATTATATTATTTTTGAATTGTTCAAATCGGCTACTCCATTCAATAGATATTACGAATTTAATAAGTTATAGAAATAGAACAAATAACGTTGTCGCGTTTTACATGTTATTCATACCTATATATTAATCCTTATCCAAATAAATTATTTTCTATTCAATATTGTTTCAATACCTGCAGATTACTTTTTGAATTTTTCAAATACATTATAGACATCCTACCATACTACACTTAGCGGTACACTAAGGCAACGGACAACGAGTAGACTTCATGCAAAACAGTAAAAATCTACCAAAAACGACAGTCACTGCATTTTTTGACCTATGTAGTGACGGATTTGCTAAAACACTACTCAATGCTAACAATACATTTTCTAGAAGGAAACGTGGACAAGACGTAGTTGGACACCCCGGCATAAAAAAAGATGCGGCATTGGGAAGAGTAGGTATAGAGTATTCATCCTTCCCAGTCAGAATGTTTTTATCTCAGGATACTACTTCATCACGTACGTCGTTACAGGCCCAACATCGTTTCAGAACTTAAAAACAGTTGATGGAATTGTTATAGAAACTTACAAAACCGAAACTTGCCAAGATAGAGGTTTGCTAGAAGATCAGATAAAAACATAAAAATATCCACCCGTGCGAAGCCGGTACGGGCCTCTAGTAAGATATATGTACCAAGTTGAAGAAAGATAGGAAGAAAAGAGGTACGTCTAATCTTTGAGCTGAGCCACAGCAGTACTGAAAAGTAGTTGATAATTAAAAAATAATTCGGAGCAAGGATTACATTTTTCGTCATTCATACTTATTTTCTATGTAGAAAGACTAAGGTACATCATCACGCAGATATATTGGTAATAAGACAGTATTAGTAATATAATATAAGTCTTATTACCAATATAGTGATTTAGATTTAATTATAGAAACTAATGATTTTACCTTTAATATAATGAAAGTTTTCATAAAAATCTTACTTATCGCTCTTCTTAGTAATGGGACTGTGTTTATGATAGGAATAGAAGAAACACGTTTATCATATTCCTGTTTGTGACACACTTATAGGAGGAAAACAAATAATATCGACGATATAAATAAAGTATACGCTCACCTTACTTTATCAATGGGAGAGCGAAATTTACAATATAATTATATGTTTCTTGATTAATATTTATAAGCCACCATTATGTTTTTAGCTACTAAAGTTTGTATGCAGTTATTCGTTTTGGTCTACTCTAGAAAGATTTCATACAGTACCTAAATTCAAAGAAAATTCCTGGCCTTTGTAAATACAAGTGGCAAGTATTGTTATTAGCGAAGTTAATAATAAAGATAAATTCATAATGTTTGTATTTGTATAAAGGGTATACCTATATAGGTATATGTGCCCGCAGTTTTTCATTTCTACGATAGGCGAAGAAAAAAAGCGAAAGGTGAACTTTGTAATATTTATCCTGAATAGATAGAAACCGAAAGTTTATAAGCTTGTCTAAATACATTTTTTGTACTTTTATGTATTGTTTTCCACAATTTATTATACTTTTCAAAGTATAAGAAATTGTAAAAAAAGAACAATAAATTTTAATTGAATTGTAAATACAGCGAGTGTATAAAGAGTTTTAATACGCTTCATTATATTATTCAATCTGTGTTTGATTGATACTTATAACTAAACTATTATTATGCCAAAACATATTTTTAGAAGTATTGTTTATAAAATTAATAATTATTAATATAATAGTCGTTCTGAACCGTGGCTGCGGTAGCGGTGGCAACGGCTGGGAAGCGGGCGAGAACATTACGCGGGCTGCGAGCTCCGATCAAGGTCGCTCCTGCACGCAATCTTCTTTGCCACCCCTGACTACTTGTTGCGCTCCACTTATCTTTTTATAAATCATTTGGGTAATGCAGCATGGTCGCGCATCTCCGGTGCGTCGTGTTTCAGACAGTTTCCATATAGTAAACATACCTGAGACTCCCGGCGCGTGTATTCGTCGTCATCGGAGAGCGCGTCCATGTCGCAGAGAGGGGCGCGTGGCGCGCGGGCGGTGGGCGCGCGCTCGGCGGCGCGCTGTCGGCGGGCGCGCACACGTGCTCCGTGGCGGGGGCGTCTCGCTGCGGCACCGCGCCGCTCCGCCCGCGTCCGCCGCGGCACTGACGGGCCCAGCGCGCATCGATCGAGCCTTCCGCCCGCCCCGCAACTATTCATCCGCTTTCAGTCCACGTGGCCGCCCGCCCTTGTATTTACTTATGGCTAAAACTAACTTTTTCTCCGACTTTGACGCAAATATATCCGTGTATTGTAATGTTAACTTTGTTAATGACATCCTAAAAACTTTTCAAGTATATGAGTAGTATAATTTACTTCAATTTATGTAAAATAATTCAAATAATTTCCCTCTATTAAAAAGAGCCGCCACTTAAAATTTCGCTACTGCGTCGGCGCGTAGGAAAGCGCAACAGATAGTCGACGCAAGCGGCAAATTATGAATATAAACGTCACCATCCGAAGTGACGAGTTTGAATAGCGACATGTCGACGTTACGGCTGATCTAAAAATACGTGGTAATTTTTAGACTGTACGCGTAAAACGGAATTATCATCGGACATCCCGACCAACGACGTCAGAAGGTCGTCGACGCAATCGCGTAAACGTGGTACGTCACAAACATCGTTTCTAGTAGTAGGGCGTGAAAATGAAAATCTGAGAGAGCGGAGGGTGGCATGCATTTTTGGCGTACCTGCTTAATCAGGGGGAGTAGGGTTCTCTCGATGGACCGCGTTTTTATCTGTGAAAAGTCGAAATCAGGCAAGCCGGCGGCCGCCATGGCTGGCGCGGGCGCTGGCGCGACTGCGCGTGTGCGCGCGCACACCGTTGCGACGTCGCTATTGGCAGCTCTAGTCACGTGGCCTGCAGCCCCTCGCCGGCCGCCGGCCCGCCGCCGCCCGTAGCGAACGTAAACACACGCTTTTAAACTAAGTACCTACTATGGTGTTGATGTTTATCACACTTCAGAACTGCAAGTTTATATTTTGTTCAATTGTATGTATAATAAAAAAAAATTGGAAGCTATAGAGTATTTTTATTCGAGTACCTAAGATGTATTTTGAAAACTTATAACAAAAAACATACCAATTTCTGAATAAATTAACATGCGTTTTACGGTTCCTTAACAACTTCAAATCTACTTATACATACATAATCCCAATCTCTCTAACGGTATCGAACCACTTAGCTTGAGGCGAGACTTCGCATCGCTTTGTGTGTTCTACCGAATATACAATGGACTGTGTTCTGATGAATTGTTTGACATGATGCCTACGGCTACCTTTTACCATCGCACCGCTCGCCATCGACAGGGAATTCATCCCCACACGCTGGAACCTAAGTGGTCTCGTACAGTGCGGTTTCAGAGGACCTACACTTAGATTGTGGAATGAACTACCTGCCGAAGTTTTCTCGAGAGACTACAGCATGGGGGTTTTCAAGAAGGGTATATTAAGGTTTCTTAAGGGTCGGCAACGCGCATGTGACACCCCTGGTGTTTCAGGCGTCCATAGGCTACGGTAGCCGTTTACCATCAGATGGGCCGTATGCTTGTTTGCCACCTAAGTGGTATAAAAAAAAAAAAAATTTTTGTAATTCCAAATTCAGTATTTTCTGGCAACATTATTTCAATATCATTGACGTAGAGTTGATTTCGGTTCAATAATTACGTATTTTAATATTGTATAACTTTAAGGTAGCACAGAATTTTTTAGATCATGGAACAAAATATATGTACATTACAAGCAAGCATCAGTCCACACTCAAACATCATGTACTAAATAAATCAAGTTGGAAAGCAGTCCGGACTTATCAACATCTTATACAACAGCATAGCATCCAGATTGTATGGGTCAGAGCAGACTCATACATACAATAATATAAATATAACGTAGTATCTATTGTTCCAGATTTGTTAGTCACAGACATTTTTTTATGAATGATAATGGAATGGTGCTTCCGTCTGCGTTAACGGTTTACGCTGGCGGGGCACCAGTGATTGACGATAAGATGAACATGCGCTCAGGCAGTTAGCCCATTGTGACAAATTCAGCAGGAATTAATCATGATGATTTTCCCCCAGTCATAGACATTCGTCAACTGTCGATGTGGTGGTGACAGTAATACATGAAACGTTTACATTTTATTAGGTATATTTGAATTCAACGTAGCAGGGTGTGATCCTGCTGTCGTCCCGATGTTGGCCAAATTTGAACTACACCACATATTTGGGTATAATTCAGGATAGCACATATAACGCCGCTATATATACTGGGCAATGCTCGCTTTTCCTCTTGGATAATATATAAGTAAAAAAATTATATTAACGTAAATGTAAACTATATGGATTTTACATGTATGTGGGATAATGCTAATGAAACGCAGTTTTAATTGCACATATTAAATTTATTATCTATGATTAAACAAATAGCTAATTATCTTATCAATAATCATTGGCACAATATCACAACGGTTGTCAATGATCTAAACTTTAAAATTGATGGCAATATCATTACTATTATCAATAAAAAATACATATCTGTAAGATCTAATATTATAGAAACATTTGTCTGTATATGACATCAAAATTTTATATTTTATTAATACTGAAACACACTATTGCCTCTACTGATCTATAGGCACAAAGGTATAATATAGATAAAAAAGTATAGATATATTTAATTGATCTTATATTTCTTAAGCTGTTAGCTATTTATAATTACTATGTACATACTTTGGTGTTTGCATTGAATACATTGTATAACATTGAATTTTAAACTAAGTATACTATATAAATTTTATTTTAAATCGTATATGAAAACATTATTTGAAATTAAAAATAACTTTTTGACACACCACTACATAACATTTCAATATACGTGTATATAAAATCTGTTAACATCATTAGACATTTTATAATTACATATAATTACATAAATATAAACTCATCACACAGTTTATAGTTCAAATAATAATCGAATTTATAATTAAGTGTCTACTAGCACGCAATATTAATAAGCATACTTTGGCAAATACTTGATAATGATAAATAAGTTTCTTGTGATTACATGATAATTATTAACTGCAAAATTAAAAAACAAAACACAATGTAATAATTACAATCTATTTTCCATCACTATGACTGAAACTGTATATATTGTTTTCCATAGGTTAGAGAGTGCCTATGGATCAATCATCATCATCATCATCATCGCAGCCCGGAAGACGTCCACTGCTGGACATAGGCCTCCCCCAAAGATCTCCAATATGGATCAATACAGTTGGTAAAAACTAATAATTCATCCGTTTTGAAATATTTTGACATGTATGCTATTTGACCTATTTACATAATGGTCTTGCCCAAGAAACAGAGAGATCAAGAATATTACAAATGTATGATAAAATGATGTTATATCTTATCACATATACTTTTATATTATATAATATTTAGTTGTAATAAACACCCATACTGATCTGTGGGCGACGTTTATTATATAAAGCTTCTTTAGAACTAATGCTGTCTTGCGAACTGTCAGACAGCCAAGGACTTTGTCCGGAAGAGTTACGGACTTTTCGTTTGCGAAGACTCTCTGTGGGCCCCAGTGTAGGCCTCAACAGTTGTTTGAAACGGAAAGGTCCTTCTGTGTAATCGTCGTCGGAGCTAAACACTGGAGTGGCGAGCATCTCGGGCGAGTTCCGCAGTATCTTCCTCAGGTCTGACTCGGGGTCGTGTGTCGGGTTGTATTTAGGCCGTGGGGCGGGTTCCGCCTTTTTGGAATTCTTTACTAATTCATTAATCTTGTTGCTGTAAACATAAATCAATATGATATTACATTCATATACCAAAATTGATTTTTTTTAATTAGATGACGATTTCGAAAGATATACCCAGATATGGGATATCGGATTGACAGATAACATATTGAAAAGATGAAACTCAGAATAAGGCGCAGTGACAATATAATAATTATTATATTAATGAGCCGTGCAATAATATAGGACAAAAATAACTAAGACGACATGAAAATGTTTCGGACCTTTATTGGATTTAGTGACATTACTAGGGTATTGCCAATAACAATAAATTGTAAAATTTATTCTACTCTTAATGAGATTATTTTTTTAAAGCAAATAATTCATTCATACCATTTATATCTATTTTCCAAAGGTAACGCATGAATAAAATTGAAATAGTATTAATATTATTTATTGCCAGGAGCGCGTTATATTATTTTTTAGTTCGTACCTGACTAGACCGCCACACTGCCTGCTACAAGGTAGGTTCTTCCAGTTTTGGCTGCTCTGTAAATGCCTGTGTTCGCAACGTTCATTGCTGCTTTGTTGATGCCTGATGAAAAGAAGTAATATGTATTGACACAATTTTTTTGAAAATGTAAAGTTCAACAGCAATTGCTTAATAGAGCAATAGACAAGTGTCATGCTTATTCTTTTTGTACTGAATCTGAAATCCAATTGAGTGGTAGAACAAAACAACTATTAAAAATTGGCATTATTATTATGTTTATCTTAATATATAACTGTGAAATTTTATCAATTAATACATGCAATATTAATTGATAAAATATTGAATACTATATAATAGGTTCTAGAATTTTTTTATTCATAAGTTTAAATGTGTGCTAGAATAAATTCTACGCAGATTGATTGATTTATAATGTTTATGAACATCGATAGAATCAAGTTATTTTTTACTAGTGGCATATTTATTAAACAACCTTACTATTTTCAAATTGAGTTGATTTAAAATAAGACAGGCATAAAAAGTATGCGTACAAGACAATAAATAATGAACATGTGCAACAATACAAAAAAAAAAGATTTTTCATGAAAGCGTGAACAATCACTTTAAATTAGGATAAAAAACATGCTAACATTATTAAAAAAAAAAAACAAAAAATCTGTATACTCATAGGAAAGTTTTCTAAGTGCAAATAATTAATGAGCATCATTCCTGCTTAAAGCTTACATAAAAATATAAAAATTCTTGAAAATATGTATTTAAACATTGATATATATACAAATAGATAATTAATATTAATGTTCCTACTATAACTTTATTCGTTTTTCTATTTTTAACTGATGTATACATACGTGAGTAAGTCCAATCATATCATATGTAATAAGAGCATTTTTGTTGTTTAATTATAATATATATTTTTTAAATATATGTACTGGGTTATACAATAACTGTGTATGAACATTTAATAACGTCACAAGGCGATATAGTGGCAACGGGAACGAACCTGTGCCGTCCAACTTCATATTGTTTCCTACCCAGCAATGGCTCATCCCATGGTCTTGAAGGGGTCTCGAGAAACTCTGGCGATGGACTGTTTCCCCGCATCCATTAGAAGCATGAGTGAATGTTGATAGAGAAGTAGGTATTTATCATGATAGAACTCAAGGACTATTACAATTTTACATATACTTATAAGTATGCAGTTATTAAAACATTACCATAGATGTTTAAGTGTAATGCAAATAAACGTATACTATCTATTATAGATAATTCATATACACATAATATTATTATTACATAAATACCAAAGGATATCGAAACGAATTATCTATTACATAAGTTATAAAGTTTATATTTTAATATGAATATGTCTTATTATTAATAAATATAATATTACTGTTTCAAGCAAAAACTACTGGACGGAGTTTGACATAACTCTACAGAAATATAGCTTATACATCAGAATAACATATAGGCTATAAATTTCATGCGTCAAACGGCGGGCACTGCTAGTAGACAATATAATAATATATAATAATTATATTGTATAAAATCAGTGAATAGTAGTGAATGAATACTGTCATTATTGTCAGTTTACCTGGAAAGACGGCTAGCATCTCGCTCCACCTGCGATGGCTGTCCACGTATGATTGCTGGTACGAGAGTAAACCCTGGCGGTTGTCGATATTCATCCGGGGGCCGTTGGACATCGTGCAAACGTATCCCTGGTTTGTTGCGTCGTAGATTCTTATGAAGTTCTTGGTTCTTGTTATGAACCTGGTTTAGACAAATTTACTATTTATTATTTACATTATATTATTGTTTACATTATAACCATACCTATACGTCTTATCAACTCAAAGAAGAAGAGATGGAGCTACGTTTTGTAAATGATTTCTTAGTAAAGGTTTGGTGGTCTACTACAGGATACTAGAGTAAAAATTTCATAAACAAAGAAAAATATTATCTGGTTATTATAGCACAAATTCTTTCGTATGTATACAGGCCTACTAAATTCTTTTCTTACTAGAATACTTACCCTATAAAAGAGAATCGCATCTAACTCAATTTTAGATATTTAACATTGAATTTGTAATCTATAATATAAAACTATATACTGTTTGGCATCAGATTTATGTGTGATAAAGTAGGCCAGATCATCATATAAATCAGATGCCAGCAATAAAAATACGTGCACAATTCAAATTCAAAATAAAATCTGGATACGTTAAATATATGACGTGGTAAAGTTGGAATTTTTTATACCTATTTATTTTGACGTAGACTAACTTTTTTTCATGGCTAATCTCTCCATACCCTGTACTTTCACTGTCATATCTTCCTCTTCAAACTAGAACATAGTTTACAAAACATGCTGACACCAGGAATAAGAGAGGCTAGTTAATGTTAAACAGAAGCATTCCCTCACCTGTTCCGCAAAGTTATGTAGTTGTGCAGCACGTTCTTGTACGGAGTACTGATTCATTAGAAGCGTAGTGGGCGGCACAGGGCCGGGCGCAGGAGGTGCAGGAGCATGCGGGGGCGGTGGCGCGCGACCCTTCGCCCAGCGACGCCGCGCTGTGTATCCACGGAAATCTGAATTGTATTAGCGCTATTTAGCCTAATTTCCTTACTCATAATAATAATAATCATAACCCTGGACGATCCACACACCGCCATCTCGTCCCAAGTTAAATAGAGCAGAGTTTATTTCATCAGTGTTGGCGTGACCAATATTTTATTTTCCCAAAAAGGATTATGTAAGAGTTTTATTAATAAAAATATGCGAAAATCAAAGGTATTTATTATACTATTTTTGTAAGAACTAAAACGTAAAATTATGATAATAACGGAACCTTAGCACGTTTTATTTGTTATTATTTCCCGATATTTCGGTAGTATTACAATGAAATTAAACTATTTATTTGTAAAATTAAATTTTAACCGCCGTAATCACTCGTAATAACAATTAACGTCAAAATGTTTCTTAACTTTGCGTGTAAATTATAACTGCGTAAATAAAAAAAAAATATTTGACTAAAACGTAGGTATGCAATATCTACTACGTCTATTTTAGTTCCATATTTCAGTTACAATAATTAAATGTCACGATAATATAATTAGCCTGTCTGTTTGTTCATGTCTTAATTTTCCAATTACTGCGTTGTGAGTTGTCAATGGTCTGATATTCCGCCCAATCATGCAACACGCAACTGTCAACCATAAATACTCATTTATAACTTTATAAATTCCATATGCAGACATGAAATGTCAGGTATGTGATCACGCAATCTATATACTGTATTGTTAAGCGATATTATCAATTCAATCATGGTTCTAATGCTATTATAATATGCTATAGCATAATCCTCAGTAGTTACTAATACATAATTGAAAGTTTGTATGTTATCTGACTCATGACTCATTAATCCATGACGGATATGACTTGCCGTATCACGTTATAAATGTAGCAAATTCTTTAAGTTAAACATGTTACAGTGGCCGACGAGTCTGCGTCTGGTCAATGTGACCAATTGAAACATGGCGGTATAGAAAAATTAAATGGTGCTATTAAATTATTCTTGGTTTTAATGCGTTGCCTACATTTTATGTAACACCATCTAGGAAGCAGTAGACAACCTGTTAAAATTAATTTCCTAAATAGGAATATATTTCAATAGAAGAAGTAGCATGAAAGATCTATCGTTACCAAAAAAAACTTTTTTAATGTTTGTGAGGGTCCTATTCTTTATCCTCAGATCTGCAGCTGATTTTCACTAGGCGGAAATTTCGGAAAATTTCATTATACAAGTATCTTATCTATTTTAGAAGTTTTCGGGCGAGAGTAAATGATTAACAAATTTAGGCTATGGCTCGAAGACTATAGATTGAGTTTCCACTTAAATAAAATTTTGTCTGAAACTGTGCAAGCTTTTCTTTATTACAATTCTGATTTATTTATAATAAGGGCCGGTGGTATTTTATACAATTTTGTGGTAATTGCAAAAATCTTTAAGTTAGGTTTATTTAGTTTTTCTATTGAAATCTAGTCTAAAATTATACGTACGACTTTGTATGACAACTGCTGCTCGATTGGTGTCAACATTCTCCTTGTCTCCTGAGATTGTTTCATTACTATCACTGTCGTCCGACGTCATACGGAGCAGTACTTTCGCCTTCATCATCGCTTTATTCTTATTCAGCATTCCTGCAATAATAAATATACAATTACTCATAATAACATATAATTGAACACATTAAATACATACCTACCTTGAAAGTAAGGTGCCGTTATTAGGTAGCTGCTACAACTCATAAAACATCAGTGGTACTAAACGATTTTAGTTACTTTAACGTTATTATTAATGAGTATATAAACTTTCATTAAGATAATAAACTATTGTTTTAAAAAAAATAAAGAAATATATCTAAGTTTATGGACAATAAGAAGATTAAAAAACAGATACCACATTATGAACCATTCTTAGAAATCTGTATATTGAAAATTGTGAAGAATGGTTTCAATTACATACCAGCTTTTTGTTTTCTCTGACTATCTTGCTCCCTCTGAAACTCTCTGGCAAGTTGCCGTTGCCGCTCCTGCAACCGTTTCCTGGTAAGCCAGCCACGAACATGTCGCTGCAACGTTAGAACAGAGATGGCCATCTGCGCCTTCAATCGCTGGTATTGTCGACGAGCAAGCCAACCTCGTGCACTTGCTTGCACCAATATTATTTTTCTTATCTAAAATACATATTATAAAATTAATTTGACAAAGTTAATTATTATACATTTATATTTCATTTTCTAATAAATCAATGATAATAAAATTACCTGTTCTTCATAAATTCTTGCAAGAACTTCAACATGGTAGTACTTTAGAAATACTTTAGATTTTCCCAAAGCCCATCCATCCATCTTTAATCTCAGTAACAAAAGTCTGCATGTATCGCGATTGGCTTTTATTTCTTCATCATAACTAAATGCCAAAAACCCGTATCTGTAAATAATACAATTCAAAAAATTTTTGTGTTATTGCATTGTATGAAAATTCATTGATAAATATAGTAAGAATAATAAATTGAATATCATAAGGAATTAAGTATAATAATATGTTACATTTACATGATAAAACAATGTAATGAGTATTATGTAAATACCTCTTCAAAAATTCATCAAAAGTAAGCCGGTGCGAAAATCCATTTTGCCTGATCCGAATTGTTTCTAATACACCTGTATATCTAAGTTGTTTTAATATTTTTGTGGAATCGAAATGCTTCGGTGATCGGGAGTCGTTTGGCTTGAGACATCGCACAAACTGTGGAGTACCGCTCACCATCTTCTGAAGTAGTTCCATCAATGAGAATCTAAAGTACGTTGCTACAGTCTGCTGTGCTCGGGACTGTGATGCTAGACCTCGGCTATTGAATCGGTCCTAAGATCAAAATTCAAAGTTTTATTATCATTGATCACGGTGATCATATCTATGTAGCGATTTAGAACTGTACAAACATTTGTATTCATGAGTATGATTGTTTGTATCGGTCTAAGTATTTTCTATGTATACTACATAATATTTATAAAAAAAAAATATCTTTTCATATCAGATGTCTAATAACCATAAGACAAACTTTGTTGAGTTGTATCTTTTGTTATTGATGTACGTAGATGTGGAACGTGGAACAATATGTTAAGGAAAGAAATATATATAATGGCCTATGCGTCTGTTTTAGACGATTTATGGCGTAATGGTCCATGAACAGCTCTTTGAACTCTGAACAACAAGGAAAGAAAAGATAATCACAAATTACCTAACCTTAGAAATATTGGAATGTGCAACATTCTTTAATGATAATAAAATACATATAGATCACTCACTCTTATTTCGCCGGATGGACTTTCTAAACTCCTAGTATCAATATCCCCTTGCAGAGGAGAATATAAATTTCCAGTTTTAGTAATGGGACACTGGAACAGGAATCTTATAATGTCATATTGACTCTGTCTCATTAGTTGAACCACCTCGGGAGGTAAGAAATTCCTATTCTTCTCTAAGAAACCATCTGCTTGATAAACAACACGTCCAGCAAAATGGTGGACGGCAAAGCAAACAGCGTCAGATTTCGGTCGTACATAATATTTGCTTTTTACATTATTGTGGAACTTTTCTGAAACATGAGAATTTGGTATTATTAGGATAGAAATATGTTAATAATTGAATCTCTTAATGTGTTATGCCTATATACGGACTTTATCGTAGAAAAGTGACATTTAAAAATTAGAAATTATTAAAAATTAGATAAATTAGATATTATTCTAAATTATTATAAATCTTACCTATAAGACTTCGATCTGTAGCACGCGGAAATCGACTTTCCTCATCTAGTAAAGCCAACAAACCTATTGGTCTTGACAACAACATATCCAGAACTGGTCTGTTATCAGAAAACTCTACAAGATCTACTGGTACTCCTTCAGCCATATACTCTTGCTGTTCCCAGGTAAATATATGCTGATTGAAATAATACTGGATCTGTTCGTTGGCAATATTAATGCATAGTTGTTCAAAGGAATTTCTTGTAAAATTTTCAAATCCGAAAATATCGAGGATCCCGATTGATAAATGGTCGATGCTATAATAGAAATACAAAATTTGTGTCATTAGCAGTTTTTAGAGTCAATACCAGATCGATTTGTTAATTAGAATAATTTTTTTTGCTATAAAAAAAAATTTGAATGAAAATAACAAATTAATTTATATATCTATTCACTAACTTAGGAGCCTTACGCTCTCAAAATATCGTAATGCTATAACAGCATTGATATAAATCAAGACATTAAATTTCTACTTATGTAAGAATAGGAAATACTTAGAAGTGCTCGTTTAATGAATATTTCTTACTGTTGAGGTCTATTCTGGCACAGCAGTGCGTTAATCCTCTCAACTATCCTGTCGAATGCTCTAGCATATAATCCTCTAGCGGTTGCATCTCTAGCCACTGCGGCTTCGGTGGGTGAACTGTGTCGGGCAATGGTTTCGCCACGAGCTACAACAGTACTGCTGGTGAGGCATTCACGAAGGTCTACTGTTTCTACACCTAAGAGGCATGAAGCTGTAAATAAAAAATGTTCAAAATAAGACAATAAGGCGAATTAATATTTATTATACTGTGCTTATTTACACAGAATGTTATATTTTGCTTCTAGAACTGACTATTTAAAAATAAAATTGATAAAGTAAAGTAAATATGCGTGATAATAAACTTATTATCACGTATTATCAATATAGCTTTCTATAAAAAGCGTTACAATAAACACCTAAATATAACATCACATTTAGGTGCCAATATAACTATAATAATAAGAACGCATTACCATCTAATTGCTGGATAAAGATCTCTCCTTGTTAGAGGACTACTAATACATGCTCAGTTTAGCCTGGGATAATCCTGCTGGTTTAGACGTGATAGCTTATTATAAGGATTTATTTCGAGTTATCTCTCTCTTACGTCACCCTTTATAGTCATAAAACTTTCTCTGCGCTGCCACTTAGTTTGTAATGTTCTAACGTAATTGTTAAAGCAGTATTTTATTTGATGATTGTAAATGAAATATTATCATTGACATTGGTATGATCTACAAAAGTTTGTTTTTGATTGTCGTTTATTAATATCAATCTAAAACAAACTTTTAAAGGTACATTCATTAAGTTACCTCTATGTAATGGTGCCGTATCGATTATAGTAGCTTTGTTATCAGTGTTATCTTCACCGGCTGCCTCGCCGAATTCTATGTCACCAAGGTGTAAAATAGCTGTTAGCATTCTGTATATGATTTGTACTTCCTCCTCTTGAAATCCAACAACCTGCAACAGAAGTTATAGTTTTTATTAAGAATATATTTGAATCATCTCAGTAACTGCATCTCAGTCTGGAATATCAGCGTTAGTTAAACAGTAAAAATATCTTATTTTTAAATGATTGATTAATTGCACGAGAATCACGTAATTATGTAAAAACAGTTGAGGACAAAAACAGTGACTATATAATAATACACCAACGAAATTGATTTATTTAGCAACTCTAGAACTTGGTACTTATACAAAATATATAAATTGTCAAAATTTCGATGCTAGTTACCAAAAGTTTGTTTGGCTAACTCCTTACAATAGTAAATATCATTAACAAGTTTAAAATTAACGTTTTTAGAAGGTCTTGGCAATCTAGACACGCGGGAGCGTGTCAAAGCCGAGTTCAAGTAAGAGAACTGGCGAGCAGCACCGTGTATAGTTTTACACGAACCATTTGGAGCCACTTTTGACCCTCTCATAACTCATTACAAATTACTAGAAGTATAATTTACTTCTAGTAATATGTAACGGGTAAGGTGTAACTCAGTCAACCATGAAATTATATAACACCAGTTAATCGCGACTTCGTCTGCTTTTTTGTTAAAAAAGATGGCGTATGTTTAGTCAATTGATCTTTATGTTAAATTTCGTTGAAGTCTGTTTAGTTGTAAAATAGTAACAATAGACAGAATTTCTGTCATACATACATACCTTCGAATTTATAATATTAGTATAGAGAAGGGTAGATATGAATATTGCAATACAATACACTTTACCTTAAAAGCTTGGTTAAGTTGCCTCCACCGATGCACGTTGTGTTCACGATGTACTGAGGAAAGTGGCTGCAGATATCGATGTCGAGACTTGAGTTGCTCATCCAGATAAAATTTCCTCCAACGTCCTTCACTCTCGAGCCCGTCGTATAGGTAGTAAAACACGTGGAAGTTACTTTCTCCCCTGAATGGAAACATTTAATATGTTTAAGACTTTTCAAACATTGGCACTTTATTTGTCGTAAACATGTAATATATTACAACTATAGCTGTTTAAATTTTTTTTAAATTATATGTATAATAGATGTAAAAATGTTTGATGTATTTCAATTCAACGGTATGTCTAACGTCTCTTACATTCTATTATGTTAGGTTAGGACATTCTGGATAATTTGTTGAATGTTTAAGGAATAATTACAAAAAATCGACATACAGTGCCTGATGAATCACACGGGATTGTTCTAGAAGGTAAACAGATATGCGTGCTCCGGATATCCTTCCCGCCCTCATCATAGACAGATCCAAATATTTTCCGAAGCGGGAACTGTTTGCGTTAATTCCCGTGCGGGCGTTTCCGAACGACTCCATTATTGGGTTTACTTGCAATATTTTTTCTTCCAAATAACGATTTTGAGTCTGTAACATAAGCGATAAAATATGATTTATCTGTAATATAAAGTTGAACAAAAGGTGTTAAAATAAATAAGTCTCAAATAGGTATGTGTGGTAATTCAACCAGTAACGCTGATGTAACATATTTTTTGTTTCGCCTATTGAAGCTGTTTCTACTAATATTTGAAACATATTGTAAGAAATACAGTTTTGTAAGTTAACCGATTAATAATATAGTAAGAGGAGTAGTAACCCTCTTTATCTCCATGTCGTAACAGTAGGCTTAATCCCCCTCTTATTAAAGCAGATCTGCGACCAGAACTGGGAAGATAATAGGCCATTATTATGTCATTAAATAAGACACACAAAGTACTATACACCAAGTGAAAAGAAAACAGATCTATTGTTAAATGATGTGGATAATTACGCATATGTATAGAAATTATATTACGGTCTATTCTGAGAACATTCAATATAATGCTTGGTATTTATTGTTGAAAAATTAAACTAGCCACACAATATATTCGTATGTCCTCAATATGATTGCTATTCAAAATGTAATATTGTCAAATATTTCTATTATAAATAGAACTAAATGCTCCCATCGTTTAGTTAGTCAGTAGTAAAGAGTTACTTTGCGACACAATGTAAGCCATCGTAAGTAGCTAAGAACACTAGATTTTAGTACGTAGCAATAAACGTCATACCTACCATAAAAAGTGGTCTCACCTAGTAATTAATGATAAGCGAATGATCTTGGCCGATGTCATAATCAATTATACGTAATTGACTTTCCTGTCATCAGACTTTTCATTGATTATATATATTAGACTTACATAAAAAAAATCTATAATTAAATTGAAATAGTATGAGTTTAAAACGAGAGTAGACATTATTGGTTACATTCTATAAATAAGAAGTGTAAGTACCTTAGACAAAAATACAAGTTGCTTCAACAATAAATTTGCCGATTCGGTCTTCCCGGCGCCACTTTCACCAGATATAACAATTGCCTGATGTTGTTTTTGATGCATCAGGGCTTGGTGAGCTGCGTCAGCTACTGCGTAAATATGCGGCGGATTATCTGACCGACAGCGTCCTTGGTATAGTTGTTGCGACTAAAGATAATAATAATCAAGAAATTATTACGTGCTAATTCTAATATAAGAGTTAGAAGTATATTATTAACGTAAATCACTGTTTTCATAGTTTTATGTGTGTGTTTTTTTTGCAACTAACTATTACAATGTCAATAATTGATTGCACATTAATAATATATTTTAAATTATTATTGTACTGTATGTTACGGAAAGAAGCAGATGTCATACTGTGTGTGTGAATGCACTTGCACACTATTAGTTCTTAGAATGGAAACTACAAAAGAATAATAATTAACTATACAAGAAATAAGAACAAAGAATAAATGAAGAAAACATGAAATTTTAACAAATATTATTGTGGTTGTTAATATTATACATATATATCATCTATTAATTGATCATCATTCATCATCTAATAAAAAAGTTAATTGAAGGATTGATTTTATTAAATGTGAGTATGTGTCTTAGACACATAAAAAAAGTAAGTAATATTCTATTAAATTTCATGTAAACTGTTGTCTAGTTTTATAAGGAAAGTTATAACAGTTATTAAAATATAGCATCCGTGGAATCGGAAAAGGAAACAATATACCTTTGTAGTATAAATTCCTATATCCGTAAATGGATTAACTGCAACCAATATGTCTCCAATATAAGTGTAGATGTGATTTTGATTGTATCTTTTCTGCAATTGCTCCACAATAGCGTCTTCAGTTAAGGCCTCTAAAGTGGCTAAATCGTCGGTATACATCTTCTCAGGTTTGGCTTTTCGGTGCGACTTTAATTTGCCTCTCTTCGTTGTTGCTTCTGGAGCGCGACCACTGCGACCTTCAGCTCTTTGTCTTTTTATCTCAGCTTGGAGTTCTTTACGTATCTAATTATAAAAAATAAGTTCTATTAATACCTATGCAATTATGCATATATACTCGTATTATCATATCATCTGCAAGGATTATACAAAAAACTTAATTTGCATATTTAAAATATAGGCAAAGAAATGAAACTGTAAGATTATTTTACAATGTAAACCGAAATCTATAATGCTTGTATCAATTATACGTTAATTATTTTCAAATTTACTAATTACGAGTTACTTGCGTAGATACTTTTATACTACATAGTACAAATTTATATTTATTTGGATTTTAATTGGAGTTGTGGTCACTACTAATGCAAATACAATTACATAAAGATATAGCAAATAGGAGTACAGATAATTTTGTGGCTTGTAAAAGACGACATTAAGATGTTTGAAAATAAAAACAAAATGTATTTAATTACCTTGTCTTCGAAGGTGGTAACAGCCAATAACAGAGGATGTTCTAAAAGTTCTCTGGCAAATGGCCTTTGGTTCATATCTTTGATTAAACAATCACCAATGAAATCTCCGAGTTGAGTGGAGAATATTTCCGGGTGGGATAAAGATGGTGGTGGATTTCTAGGTATTTGAAATAAAGCTCTCATTGGATGCAATCCTGATAAAGGTGGCTCCCCTTCTGCTAGTTCAATTGCTGTTATTCCAACGGACCATACGTCACATCTACAGTCATAAGACTGATCTAATTGTTGTTCACATGCTATAACCTAAAATACAATAAATATTATAAATTCAGTACTTTATTATAAATATTAGTGTTTAGAAATATCAATGTTATTATGCAATTAGTATGACGTAAATAATCATATTATTTATTTTATCATTAATGTCATTAGAATAGTGTTTCAAATAATTGTAATAAATATTATTCTATTCTGTTCTAAATATAAAAAGTCATTATTAATTTAAGTTTAGGGTACTCTTATGATATGTAAAATCTACCATTAGTACGGAGTGTTTTGGATTACTAAGAAGAATTAACAAAAAACTTAGTTCTTATTCTTTTCAAATATACATGAAGGTACATAATTTAAAAAATACAGAATCAGTTTTAAACTCAGGTATAATATAGTGAACAGCGTATATAACATTTTTGTGAACAGAAGATAATTTAATCAGTGGCCGAAACCCAAATCAACTCACAAGCAACACCCGAACCAGGAATATGACGGATGAGGCAGCTATCGTTGCACTCAATCATATAAGACGGAACACATTGACTTTGCCTATGACTTTGGCCGACACAGTTTGGACTTTATTGCTTGATTATACTATATTTATTTGATTAAATACTTACTTCCGGTGCCATCCAGTATGGAGTCCCAACAGAGGTATTTCTTCTAGCCGCAGTCGCTGCCAGATGTGAGGAGACACCAAAATCAACTAATTTAACTTCACCATCTTCTGTCAAGAGTATGTTGTGACCTTTGACATCACGATGCATGCATCGATGAGCATGAAGATGTGTTAGAGCTCGAACGGTTCCTCGCAAGACGTAGGCGAGTTGTGGCTCGGTAAGATTACTTCCGCGGGCTCGCATTCCCGCACACAAGTCTGTCACTGAGCCACCAGTGCAAAGCTATAACATTGAAAACAGAATATTTTTATAATAATACGGTAACCCACACTCATTGTTAGATTGATAGGTAGATCGTGTTTTATTTGTGATATAGATGATAGAAGATAGGTATATTCAATTAATACACTAAACACATATATAAATACAACAAGACAGCTCTGTTACTGATTTTTTTTTTACAAGGAAAGTTTATAGGGACGGATGCAGTTGTAGCAAATTAAGAAATAAGTAAGAATTATAATACAGATAACAAGGAAGACAATATTAATTGAAATATGTATAGTTAACGATGATATTAAACAAGTTCGAAAGTTGAAACAAATCTACTGTTCTATTGTGAAAGGTTTAAACATTAAGTTAGATATCGGATACATTGATAAAGATATTGATTAAAATTTCCTAAAGAAGGCTGAGGCTTTAATTCTTAAAGATTTTTATAGATTACTAACCTCCATGACAAACCATATTTGGTCATCATCGGAACATGTGCCACGTTTTAGAAATAATCCAAAGAACTCAGGTATATTAGGATGACCTGATAAATCTCTGAAAACTAAAAACTCTTCTTCTATTTCTTCGATATTTTCGGTAATATTTTCTAAAACCTGTAAAATAAATATGGTAATTTATACGATATAAATTATTATAATTGACGTAACAGTTACGTTAAAAACATTGACACTCAGCAGCGCAAAACGAGAGGCTCGCTGATTGTTAGATGCGGCCTTGACATCAATACCAAGTTTTGAGATAGCATCTACACATTCAATTACAGACTTTATGCTAACAATTCCGCCCATAAAAAGTCCACCGGTCCTATTCTTTATTCATGAATACATGTTATGTATTCATACTAGATGATAATAAAATTGTTACCTATACAGCTACTGTGAGTGTATTGAAGTGAAATTTAAAAAAGTTTTCAAATTACAGGTACTATCCATATGTACCACGTAGTGTATGTATATACACTACGTAATATTGATTAACGCAGCAGGTATTATGACAATGCAATGGTTTTGTTTTCTTATTGTCTAAGTGCCTTGTATTAAAATTACTTCATTCAATGATGGTTACTTACTACTTCCTTCCTTCCTCACATGATCCTTAATTTTTTTCTATTTCCTGACTCAATGATAAAAAATAGTTCTATTCATAGAAATAAATAAAGAATTTATAGAGTAGTCGAAATATTTTAACTGTCTCTAGCACCAGGTAAGGATTGCAGCGTGGTTAAATAATATTTCTGTCGAAATATTTCAAATGGTTGCAGCAGAGTTTCGAGCGATTCAAGTTTTAAACGTGGTATTTTTTTTATTTAATACAATATTTTTTTATTATGACTGATCTTTATTCATCATACACAAATACATTTGAGAATATATGATATTGACCGAGTTATTGATAATTTCTTTTTGGAAAGCTTTTGGGAAATTCATTTCACGATATTGCGTATTTTGACAAATATTGTTTGTAGCACCTTGTGTGAGTTTACTAGACAAATGTCTGAATATCCGTTTTAAAATGACAAAGTTTTAAGTAAAATATTTTTTGTAGCACTTTGTGGGAATCTACTAGGCAAATGCGCGAATATCCATGGACAAAGTTTTGAGTATATTGACAATCTATGATTTCTATAAAGGTGTTATATTATTTCCGTTATATAAATATGTATATCTAAAACAATGGGCATTGTTTATTTTGTTCTATTAGTCACTTATATAATAACGTATAGCCTTGACACTAAGTAAAGTATTTATAATGGAAATTAAATAATTTAAATATATTTACCTTAATAAAATCACGACTAAACAATGCATTTATATTGATATTACATGTTTTTTATACAACTAAGCATATGGCCCATCTGATGATAAATGGTTACCGTAACCTATGAACACCTGAGACATCAGGGGTGTCACGTGGGCATTACCGACCATTAAGAAACCTCAATATACCCCATGCTGTAGTCTCATAACAAAACTTCGGCACGTAGTACATAATTTTCACATACTTTGACTTTAGTAGGTATAGGTATAGTAGGTGTAGGTATATATTAGTGAGATTAAAAGAAATAGTTACTCATTCTTACACACCTTTATGGCAACTCTTCTGCCAGACTTCTTATCTTTGGCACAGTAGACCTCACCATAAGTGCCTTCCCCTATGAGGTCCTGCAGCGTGAATCGCTCTTTGGGGTCGGCAGCGCGGTCCAACTCCACGTGTTGAGAGAGCCCACGATATGCCATGTCGCTGCGCATGGCTCCGGCTCACTCCTCTACATGTAATTACGCATCTATACAGAAGTAAATATACTTAGAACAGAATTTAAGTTTCAGCATTTTCTCTTCTATCATTCTATACAATTAATAGACAGATAAGGATTGTGGTTAATTTTATTATTTGTACTAAATTAACCAAAACTGTCGAAAACCCTTATCTGTCTTCATTGCTTTGTGGTTCGAAATAAAGTTTTTAAATTGTGGGTATTAAGTCAAAACATATTAGTCTTCGAGAACAACAACTTATCAGATGTAGTTAACAGGAGGGTAGGATGGGAATATAGACCGTCTGCCTTTAAATCCCACAACTAAAAGTTAGACTCAATCTATGATATAAAAAGACCATAACATCGACTACCTAAATTAGTATAGTAGTATTGTATAGAACACTATAATAATTATAAAAAAATATTAACTCTTATAAATTTAAATTCCATTACATTTATTTGAGTGACTATTTGAATAACAATTATTTAATATGTATAATATATGCCAAATTATGTAAAGCAATATTCCGTTTTGGGTTATTATTCAAGTTTATCAATAATGTATATATTATAATACATGTGATAATTCAATGGTGTAGTAAGTAATATTCGTTCTTAAATGTTAGGTTGAATGAAGGTTTAGAGTAACTTAGAGAGTAGAGTGCATAATTAACAGTGATCTATGGAGTTCATGGCTGTCCGATAAAATGTGATGAAAGTTAGCTATTTGGAATTATCCGATCATCTGCATATATTAGAAAGATTGCAGCCGAATGTTTACTGTAATTTTATTAATTGATCCAAGATTATCATGATCAATATTATAATTACACGAACATTACATACGAAAAATGTTTGATTTTAACCTAATTGATTTTTAATATACCTTAATTAATGTTTTATATAAGATTTAATTACGAAAGTATGTTAATCAATATTTATTAGTAGCGAAGAGAATGTTATATCATTAATGATTAATTAGTATTGCTATTGGATGTACAGTAAATCGATTAGTAGGTACTTACTATTACTTTACGCTGGATTAAAACATATTATTTATGTAGTGAATAACTACTTATTCATTACATAAATAATATGCTTTAATTCCTACGAATATAATATATTACTAATCTATTTTCATCCCTAGGATATCCTACGTCCCAGGAGAAGTAAGCCAAGAATATGCCATTGGAACAGAAAGACTTGAAACAAAACTCTACATCAACCTGGTTGGTCGCCGACCGCCGTAGATAGGGTAAATTCTTGCATTAAATAGACATAATAACGATGAACATTATGTACAGTATGGAACAGCTGAATAAAGAATAAAACCAATCCCATTTATGGCAGTGCATGCGCATGCGTTTATACACTGTACCTACTAATCAGGATACGATGACCATATTGAAATTACTTTTGGATAGCTTCCGTCACATTATGACTTTGATGTAGTATGCAACAGTTTATAAAGTACCTACTTAAATTATATATTCTTGGTTGATTATTGTTTGATAATTAACATATGGTTATTGTAGATGTCTATATGCCTATAGGACATGTAAATGAAAAGGCTATTATAATAATGTGAATCAGTGAGAGCGACATTTTTAAACATGAACATTTTTTTAATATAATTGAAATAGCGAAAAACATGAAGGCACACGTAATGGTAATTTGCAACCCTCTCCTATGTGAATAGCACCCGAGATACCAATTATGCTTTGCCATTCCAGAAAACTAAGATGTCATGCCTCTTATGCTACAATTTCAACGAATATGAATATAAATTGGTAATTGTTAAATATTACGAATTACTAACATATCGCATGTATGTATACAGTATTAACTCACAAATACTACCACCGATATAAAAAATAATATGCTAAATATTCAGTTTAGTCAAAGATTATCTAAAACTTTTACTTTTATATTGTATTGTATAAGATACACCCAATGAAATAAATAAATAGGTATAAAACATGTTAAATATTAGGCAGATTAAGTATTAAAGAAAGTAATGAATTAAGGAAAGTCATAATTTTTAATTCATTTGCAATACAAACAAACATTTTAATCCTCTAATACTCGTATAATTATCTAAACTTGATAATATCATAACATAGTTATATAATATTTGTATTATTAAAATCAATTAAAACTAAAAGTTAACATCCATATGTATTTTAGAAGATATTTGTGGTAGTAAACCATTTGAACTTTACATATATGGAAATATTTGTAACCTTTTATATGTTTTTAGAATTCTATTCATCATCATATATAATTCTATTAAAATACATGTATACTCGTCTGACTATGTTAAATAATAAAATAACTTACCCAAAAAATAAGGCTGACGTCATCCACAGAATTTTAATTAATAAATAGACAGTCTTATTTAGTTTTCAGTACGTAACTACTAATAAATTTGGTGTTTATTACTAAACCTACCTAGTCACTTATTCAGACTTTTCTGCAGCCCATATGTATTTATTATTGACAAATTTGATTTTTCGATTCTCACTAATTTCGATATAATTGCATAATAGGTATCAATACGTACGCGTTGTTGAGAATGTCACATATTGGTTACATGGTGGCGTAACTTCGACTCTGTAGGTAGATGTACGTATTATTGACTTATTTTGCCCAAGTGCGCTGCATAATTGGTGTCAGCCTTGCTTATACTATATATGGCATGTTGTAACTGCTCGCAGTGATTTACCAATATTTGTACTGTACAGTAGAGCACTGGGCCATCGATTATCTCCACCGAGTTTTTTTAAATTTTACATGATATGGCATTAGGATAGGTAAAGCTGTGTACTGATTAAAAGGCAGAAAAATAATATTGTTAGTAGTTTCATGTTTTCTACAATGGACTTGTAGGAAGAAAACATTTATAAAGAACGTCTACTTTATATTTTTACATGTAACTAGTGTATATCTTATTAATATAATTTATGTATGTAAATTGTATAGAAATGGAAGGAAATAATGAAGTCAATAATTATATGTAATTTTAAGACTATATACAAATAGAAACTCACGCCTATACATAAAGATTGTTGTATATTGACAAATTTTAATCACAATAATTGTTATTTTACATGAGTCACAAAGTAAATTATTTAAGATTTTTTAAAATATTCAAAAATTAAATTCTTTAACCAAAGGCTAGATTGACGTGAGACGCGACCTGAGATTTCTCTTTTAAGGTAATATCGTATGCATGTATAGATTGTTGTTACTGATACTCTCTAAATGTTTTCTCTGTTGACGGATTGATTGTTAAGCGTCTGGCAAATTACAAAAGAATCACCTTTTTATAACAATGAACAAAACCTATAAACTAATGCCGTAACAATTGAGCCATTGAACTTAAACTATCAAAAACGTCACGCGTAATTAGCGCATACAATGTGACAATGTACCTATTTAATTATTTTCATACACATAGGTAGTTAGAAGGTGTTAATTACTCACTGTGATCGACAGACGGAAAGACCCGTCTGAACACTTTCACTGTTTGTTTCTGTCACGAAAGCTTGACAACCTCAGTGGACTGCCCATCCGTGGGTCTCATATACATATGTTTATATTAACATTATTAGCAAAACTCGTTCCGATTGGATGCATTCATGTTTAATTATTTAGTTCAAATTGCATTCTTGTATATGTAAATCAATTTTGCATATACAAAAAAATATTTTTGACACGTACTTGATAAATAAATAGGAAATGCTAGTTTATGACTATCTCCAATTTCGTTACGTGTACTCGGTTGAAGACTGTATGCATTGTTTGACGTCGGGCGTCTTTCCTGTATGTTAACAATAACAATTATAATTTCAATCTTAGCGGGATCTAAACCATGACTTTTAATTGTAACTTCAACCGTAATTAATATAAAAGAATTCATAATAAAATGCCTCTCTGAGATCCCCATCAGCATTTATATAGGTAACATTTTCACATGGCTATCATTTTATGCTAATGACACGAAGTTCCCAGGTTCTTAAGCGGTAGTATTGTTTGTACCGTTCGTAATTTCCGGTAGTATCCTACCTACCTTGTCTTTATGATAACACTTTAGATTTGATCTCTTGACCAAAAGTGGGTATAATATATACTATTATTGGCAGGTATGCTCAAGGCCATGTTAATTCAAAATTTTGAGATAATGACCATAAACAGTATGAAATTGGTAGCACTGTTACCACAATGATAACTCATTGTGACCACTTTATGACGAATAAACCAATACCTAGTGTGGTATTCACAATTTGTAACCATAAGTTATATTAAAATATCACCGCCATTGTTGGCTAGTGGACCCGACGTTTCTTTCATAATATACGTAATCAATTTTACGCTCATAGTATTGATGTAGTGAAAGCGGTAAGAATATATAAAATTTATAGAAGTGTAAGTTCTATTATTACTTCGTGGAAATAACTAGCAGTTTGATACCGAAAATGTAACAAATATCACTTAAAGCTTTCCCCCATCGTATTATTGCATAAGATTTAGGATAATACTTGAAAACATTGTCGTTAATTAAAACTACAATTTAGTACTTAAAATAGCAATGTGTGTATATTATTTTTACAATTGCAGAACGTATACGTGCTCAAAAACATGAAAGTAAAAACAATGTATATAAACATGATTGCTTGTCATCTTCATCAAATTTTAATGGACCTCAACCAAATTAACACAAATTTATTTTATCTAGTTACATCTTTATGGCTTTGTGTGGGAACTGGGAACATGAATATAGTAATTTAAAGTAGAAGTTATAGTTATATGGTGTACTTATAGTTAATAGTACCGATTAAAAGTGAGTACTGGCATATACTCTCTCTTCTTTACTCCATTCTTTTTAATCCTGTTACTCCTAACTATCTTAAAGAAAGATTTTCATTTCTCGGAGAGGCACAAAACCATGGCTTGCGTAGTGCATCAAATCTCCTCCTTAAAACTCCTTCACATAGTAAATCCTTCTCACCATGCTTTACGGCTTT